CCTTTGCAACAGCCTTACGAAGTCCCTTTTCACGTGATCGCTCGCCACGAAAAGACCTTGGAGGTTGATCGACATGGCCGCGTTGAAATCGCCAGCATTGATCGTCTCAAACCGGCACACGTCGATGACAGTGCCCTATCTGATAACTTGAGATTCAAGGCTAGACCTATACAACCTACTAGCGGGATCCTCAAACCATCTTCAGATCCCATGCTAGATACACCTGAGACCTCATTCTCACGTCCCAGTCAACAGCACGCGTCATCTGCATCATCTACGGACGAAACGACAGTCTCACGTCCAGATCAGCAGACCACGCCGCCCTTGACTTCGGATGAGGTTGCAGGCTCACGCGACACGAATGAGACTACCGTCTCACGTTCCGGTCGCCGAGTACGGTTGCCCGTACGCTTCCGCGACTAGCCGCACAGTTAACAACCGATACGGTGTAGGACTATTCCTATACTACATGCATGCTACACTCTTCTCTTTTTTGATTTTTTTCTGTATCCTGGGCCCACGCCTCCGACCATCTCCGTTTGGTACCGTCGACTTCAGTCAACTTTGGCGAAAGCTGGACTGGCCACCCACGCTCTTGTCAACGCACTCAGTCGATATTTTGGTTTCGAATGCTTGGCACACGCTTGATCTCGAACTTTTTCGTTATGGTCGCTTCTGGTTCCTCGGCCTAACGTGGTTCCGTCCTACGTCTGCAGCGTTTCTGGTCCGCATCACTACGAACGCAATCTTCAGTTTCTGGATATAAACCACTCTGGTGTAGTATGCCAACTCAAGCAACAAATACAGCACACCGCCCCTGGTACCGTTCTCCGAAAAAGAACTTCGTTGGCAACTCGACGATCAATGATCGCTTTCCTGCTCCACAAATTCTTCCGTCTTACAGTCGCTCTTCAGCCGATCAGTCCCACGATTCAAGCCGCTTTTTATCGAAAGTGTAAACCCTTTCTAGCGAGTGGCTCCAGTAGTGACTCATTTTATCACGAGAAAACGATTGGTTTATTGAAAACAATAATTATTATACCCAACTGTACCTGTGCTTGTTTTAACGTGCTTTTGTTTAACTGTACTAAAAAGCATCTATTATTTTCACACTTTGATTGTGAACTCGCGCGAATCCGGTTGCGCTCTGTAACCAAGCTTGTATCCTGGCACGATCTCGGTATTCGTTCGATACCACGAGATCGCCAGCAAATATATCTCGACTTGGTCCATTAAATGCCTTCTGATATTTCGCTTCCGGGGGATTTTATGGATTTATTTGGCGCTACAACAAAACGTATGGGAGTACTCAGAGTTGTTCAAGTGGTAACCTGTGGTTATTAGGGTGCCTCAGGGTTCGATATTGGGACCACGGCTGTTCCTCGGTTGCTTATCAGTTGTAGTGGCCTCTTTTATCAATAAAACGCGATTGGTTTAATGGAAACAATTATTATTACAATCAATCGTGCCAGCGATTGTCTTACTGTACTTGCTTCTTTGACTGTACCAAAGACATTCTTCCTTCCGTTGATTGTGACTTTGCACGCGCTTACGTTTGCTGAGCTATCCCGCTCGTACTCTTTAGGCACGATCTCGGTATTCTTTCGGTACCACGAGATCGCCAACAAATATATCTCGCAACAATCTTCAATGGCCTTCTGATATCTGGTACGCAACCTTCTTGTAGTGGTGATCATAGTCAACCGCGACTCGACGTCACACTGCACAGTCTTGCTAGATATTGGAACTCGACGCCATGCTAGAAGAGCATGATTCTACATGAGAATTGTTGAGGTGACAAAGTAATCGAGAAGTATGGTCCATATCATAACAAATGAAGAACGCGTTATCAACATATCTAGAGTAGTATGTTGTGTTTTAGATTTCATGTTTCAGTTTTGTTTGTTCTAGGTTAGCCATTAAGATATCGTCTAACTAGACCCCAATGGTAATCTCATGGCCACTCGATCGGTTGGTTTGTATAGTTGATAGTTGAGTTAAAAATGAACCTCATTGTTAATAATTTTCTCAACTCATTTTGAGCCAAAAAGTAATTCAGATTGTTGGCAAATCATATTAATAGTTTCTTTTAATGGTATACCCATAAATAATGAATACATATCAAAAGATACCATGAATTTATTTGATAATTTATATTATTAGTTGGAATTTTAGGTTGTATGCAGCTGCTGAGAAACCATAAAGTGGAGTGTTGAATTCATTTTATTTTGCAAACCTTGCTCCGTTCAAAAAATAAATGTCAACCTAATAAATGAAATGTGTTGTCCAACCTGCGTTCAATGTGTTTCACTGATTCCAAGCAACTCCACGTTGTATCTTTTCATTTTTGCAGCATTTTGGATGACTCTTCAGGTCTCCCACATTGTACGAACATTCTGTGTACCTGAATTAATGATTGGTCTGGTTGTCAGAAGAGGCACCAACCTCGTGACTTCAGAAGGAACTCGGCTTTAAACATCAGGCGTTATAATTCTTCTAAATGAAGACCTTCTAAATACCAGGGCAGATTTTAAATGGTTTGAATTATTATTTCTGGTCAGCGTTGTTTTAGAGATTTAGTTTTTTACGGGATGAGGTCGTTAACCCCATACGCAACCCTCCTTTTTTATCCGGGCTTGAGATCGGCAGCACCCCCAGAGGTGCTCCGCACGGAGTTATTAAATGAGATATGAGTAAATATCACTATTAAAACAAGTTGATTTATGGAGTCACTTACTAATGCAGCTATGAAATGCAGATATTGATTTACTCAGGATAAGATCACTTAAGCAAAGGCAACATTATGAGTTTACATGGATTATTACTTATGAATAGTTCATTATTCTACAAAATTAAATAGAGATGTAAAAACCTTTATTTCTCTATTTAACTGTTATCATGCTCTCTTCGTTTCTTCAACATATTGATGGTGAGTGTCCGCACGCAAGACTGATAGGTCCTGGGTTCGAACCCCCCCCGTGCACTTTTGAGGAGTTCAACAGCAATACAAAACAACCATCCAGTGCTTCCAGGTTGTCCATGTTGGTCTAGTTTTGAATTGACTCACGATCTCAATTATTAAATTACTAAGATCTCCACCAAACTCCCTTTTGATATTTGTTAGGTCCCGACAAGAATAATGGATGGTAACTTTTGGGATCCATTTATGGACCAATACTAAACGTATATTTTTATCGTATAATTGTTAAGTAACTAAACTATTCATGTTCGTGTTCCTCATATTTTGAGCATTATTTTGGCCTATGAACTATTATTACATGATTTGCCATTCTTGAATTATGCTCTGTCTATTAATTACCACCTCTCACATTCACAGCCACTTTTGGTTAAATCTTGTAAAAATGTTAGTTCCTATTTTATGGTACGATGTGGTCTATCTGGTTGGTATATAAACTCAGTATGTTTGAAATATAATGTAACATACTGCAGAGTCTGAGATTGGTGTTCTGGACTTAACTCGCTGGGCTAGACAGGGAAGCAGTACCAATAAGGACTCTAGACTACTCGTACGGGTTTTATGCCTCATTGGTCCGATCGATAATTCACTACTCCCTAGTTGGCGGTATCGTTACCTTATACAATAAACAGGGCACACAGGTCATAAGTGATAACAATATTATTTAATTTTTCATTTCAAAATATACATTTATTTTCTCTAACAAATCCTTGTTGGGAGGCAAAATTCGACTCACACGTCCGCGTCGTGCCTCCTGGATAATGAGACGAATGACTCATGAATTAACGTGAGCGGTAACCCGGGTTGTGGAGATCGGGCTAATCACCCACTCTTACCTATACCCATCAATCGATTACGAACTCCACAGATAAACATAGCACAACTACATTTGGAATGGAAAAAGACAAAAAAATCTTCTCGAAAGTGGTGCATGTATCATATGGAGTTGCTCGTCATTGGGCAAACTCCAAAGGATTGCGGAAACAGCTATTCTAGGCCCGGTACTTGTGCCGTTCTTCGATGTAACCCACAGAGAAATACAGCACGATTACATTTGAAATGGAAAGTGACAAAATTTTCGAAAGTGGTGCATGTATCATATGGAGTTGTTCGTCATTGGGCAAACTCCAAAGGATTGCAGAAACAACTATTCTAGCCCTGTTAGTAGTGCCATGCTTTGATGTGGCCTGTTCCTCTCCAGAAGGGCCTACTAGCTTTCATCAACTTGTTTGGCTGGAAGGGGGAGGGGGCAAACAAATTCTTGTTGGTTATACGCTAATCAATCATATAAATCATTTCAATATTACACATATGATTGATATGAATGAGTTACCAAAGAAATAGAATAACAAAACAAAAAAAAACAAATCATCATAATTAAACTTTTTATTATATCATAAAAGAAAGTTTCTCTACATAGATGTTACGTTTAAAAACAACCAAAGAAAAAAGAAAACGAAACAAAACATTTCAAATAGAGTATAATTGTACATGTAACATCTTTGGTACAATCAATAATCAATGAACAACCTTGAAGTGACGCTAAACTAACCTTGAGGAAGGTTCCACCAAATCAAGGTCACAAATTCATGTGAACAATTCGAATTCTGATTTACATTTAATAATTAAAGTTTTAGAATTAACTAATATCAGTTATAATGATGTCAAAACTTTATTTCATCAAATGGATAAGTGAATAATTTCGCGCTAAAATTCAAAACCTTTTATCTTATACCTGATTGGTTCGTTCATAAATGATAGTCTCACCTCACTAATGATATATATATAGATAGATATAAGTATCATTTAAGTAGTATATGAAAACATGAATACAAAATGAATTCTATCAACAAAGAAAAACATCATTTATATATCTCTATATAAAATATATTCAATAAACAAATTACAACTGTACTATTCTATGTACAGATCAAGTTTCAATAATAAAAAAACAACAAAACCAATCCAAAATGATCATATGACATTGAATTGTTTTTGTATTTGATCTAAATTGAATTCACATTCATTAACTTTTTCAATAAAATAATTTCTATTTTTAATTATATTTAATAAATCCGCTTGTACATAATAAATATTTTCCCATTTCATAGCTTCTTTATTATCAAGATGATGATAATGATTCGATTTTGAAGAGGTTATGTCATCATCATTATTATTACCATTACCATTACCAGTACTACTACCACTAGTAGTAGTAGTATTAAGTTGATATAAATCAATGACATTAGAACCATCTTCTTCAAATCGTATATTATCATCAAATAATATATGTTGAATATATGGATCATATGGATTAAACCATAAAGGTTTCGATGATTTATAATGATAATTATGTGATTTCCAATAATTGAAATCATCTATAACATGAAGTACACCAATTTGTTTTGACCATATTTGATAAATTTCATTAGGATTATTTGATATATTAATAAATTGTTTATTAGGATCTAATAGATCTTTATTTGGAATTTCTTTAATAAATTGAAATAATGGTTCATGATCAGAACGTTTTAAATACCATTTAGTATAATCAATTGATATATATTGTTTAGCATTGAATGGTGCTTTCTCTTGTGAATGTTTACCATGAATATATGCTTCAATAGCTGATAAAATATGTTCACCATCTTTACCATAGGTACGTATAAATATAGCAAATTGACGATTGGTTTCAATAAGCCATGTTAATAAACGATAAAAAGCTGGCATTAAATAATGATAATAATGATTATCTTCATTCTTATTTATATGATCATTATTATTATTATTATTATTATTATTATTATTGTTGTTGCCATGGTGATTATTAATATTTCCACTATTTACACATAAACAATATGGTGAATTAATAGATTCAATTGGTGTTAATTTTAACATTTCTAAATATTCATTAAATAAATTACGATATGGTAAACCTTCTGGTGTTTGAGTAAAATTACCTAAATATCTTCTTATTCTACCTCTATCAGATGTTATTTTAACAATTTGTTTCTCTAATAATTTATATATACTTATTGCATTTGGTTGTGGTTGTTTAATACATAATGGTATTGGTAAACGATTCCAACATGCTAATGTTGATTTAAAATTAGCTAATTCATTTGATGTTAAATTTTCAAAATTTTCACCTTCATATGGTTGACGAGTATCCATTGGAGTTGTGATTGTTTTTGTTGTTGTTGTTGTTGTGGGGGTGGTTATTGTTGTTTTACAAGAGTTAACTTCATGATCTAATTTTTTTTTGAAATAAAAAAGAAAAAAAAGTTATTGATTAAAGAAATGGAAATGGATCGTGAATGTGCACTGATGAGGAGTCTCATATTGGGACGAAACAGCTGTCCAGTACTTTCAGGTTTTTAATGGTGGTCTGACATCAATCGGTGGATGATCTCAATAAAAAAAACGAAATAATCTTCACATTCCCTATACTGATAATATTTGTTAGTAAAAAGATATTGATTTTGTGTTATAAACTATGGGTTCCTGCCCCTATCAATGTTCAGCGTAATGATACCGCCAATTAGGGAACAATGAATTATTGACCGGACCACTGACGCATAAAACAAGTATGAGCTGTATAAAGTCTTGATTGGTCTTGCTTCCCATCTAGCCCTGCTTGTTAGAGTCCAGAACACCAATCAGAGCTTCCATGATATGAATTATGTATTTCCAACATATTGAGTTTATATTAACAACCAAAACAGACCACATAGTACCATGAAATAGGAAACAACCTTTGTAGAAGATTTAGCCAGAAGTGGCTGTGAATGTGCGAGGTAGTAATTAATATTTTGAAATACTAGCTAAGTGGATAATGCAATAGTGTTTGAAGCGAACGATACTGGGATCGAGTCCTAAAGTGAGTATCGAATCTGAGATACAGGTGCATTCAGCTGACGAGTCCCAAATAAGACGAAACGCATGCCCCGGATTCTATTGCTAGCCACTATCTATCTTTGCTTATGAAATAACTGTTTACTGAAAAATTTGTCTTTACTAGCAATGGTTCAATTTTATAAGTGTAAAATGTAATTGTTAAAAAGTAAATGAATATCTAGTTACTTATTGTAGAATGTGAATCTAATTAGAAACGTAGTGCTCAAATTTCTTGATTAAGCATTGAATCAGCTATTTATACAACAATTATGGTTTAGATTGACAAAAGTTATAGTATTAACCTTATTCAGAATGTTAATTAAAGTCTGTCATTTACGAATACAATTCCAAGTGATGTGTACCAGAAAATCAAAATGAACAAGTGAACTGATCAAAATCTATCTCTCTTTGTAATGCATCAATCATTACTAAATGTAACTATTGAAATATGTAATTTCATCAGAACAGATTACAATGAACACATTGACATTTTATTTAAAAACAAGTATGGAGCTGCATATACTAAAATGACCCTAAAGAACATAAAATAACATTGACTTGTCATTTGAACACTTCTCTTGAAACATTATTTTGATAATCAGAGAGGAATTTTTGAATATTATAATAATTTTAATAGTGAAATTCATGATTCAATTGAAGATAAACTACCATGGAAAACCTAGAAGCACTGGACGATCGTTTCATCTTAATGTAGGATGCCTCAGTAGTGAGCATCTACGATCCCGCCTAGCGAGTTCGACCGGGTCTGTTGTAAGATGGTAACTCACTGAAGACAATGTTGGATGTGTAGCTCAATTTCGTGGATCGATTGAAATTAGGCACTAACACCGCTGGATGCCGGCTCAGTGGTCTTGAGGTTAAGCGTTCGCGCGCGATACCGATACATTCTGGGTTCGGATCCCGTACACATGATTAAGGATTTGCACTACTGTGGAGTCCCATACTAGGACGAAACGACCATCCAATTATTTCGAGTCTTCAATGGTAATATAGCTTCAATTGACTCATGAATTCAACTATTAAAATTATTTTAATAATTTGAAACAGTTTGAAGAAATTGGACGAATAAATTAGGTAAGAAAGATAATTATTTCATTTACTTGTTAGCTTATACTTAATTATACATAAGTAGTAAGTCAGTTATTACGTAAATTTTCAACCTCCATGTCTCACCCATATACGTATAACGTGGATGTGCAATGCTGAAGAGTCTCATATTAGAACGAAACGGAGGTCCAGTGATTCCAGGTTTGCAATGTCGCTCTAACATCAATCGGTTCATGATCTCAATCAAAAACTTATTGATCTCCACAACCCTATACTAATATATATATATATATGATTACTCATGAAACTTAATGATTTCACCTTATAGTACAGTTTTTAGTGATGAGTACACAATACACCATGAGATAAGTACTTATTACTTTAATACATATATCTTTATGTAGACATGATTAGTATATTCGGTATGTTTGTTTTAAAGGTAACTTATTCCATGAAAATAATGAAGTAAGTAACAAGACTTCACCTACACAGAATTCCGTCCTAATCAAAGTAAACAACATATTTTTCTTTATACTATGTATCATTAATTAACTAAGCATGCATATAAATGAGCATGACCTTCTTCATTATTGTATACAGAGTGTAATTGATAAATCATATTGCATTAGTTATTTATGTGCGTGTGTATGTGTAGGTCTCTGTGTGTGTGTGTGTGTGTGTGTTGATCTTGTTTGATACAAATAGTGTAATGAGTAAAAGAGTGATTAATTAAAATATTTATACAAGATTAAGATACATAAAGTAGAATGTACATCATTCTAGCCTTAAATTCTTCTACTGTACTGTTTACACCGTTTTCTTCTTCTTCTTCTTCGTTCTATTCAATCTTCTGTTGTTGTTGTTGTTGTTGTTGTTGGCCAGTTTTAATTATCATGATAGTTTTTAATGCTAGTTCATTGGAAGAAAACTAGTTTTACATAATTTTCTTGTTAGATAGCATTCGTAAGTATGTTACACCGTCTTGAAGTCTAAGACATTACTAATGTATAACTTAGACACCTCTGTTGTAATCATACAGTACTAAGGTATCTACAAATGACCAATTACTAAGTAATGGGTAATATTTTGCTTAAAGTAATTAGTCCATTTGATAAATTTCGTAAGTGTAATATAAGAAGATAAAGATTATGAGAACTATGTGATATATATATGTATATATTAGCGAAATACATCTAACAACAAAGGCGTATACTAAGGTTTATTGAAACTTCAATGGTTAATATCATGAGTCAATTGAAGCTAGACCATCATGGAAGACCTTGAAGCACTGAACGGCCGTTTCGTCCTATTGTAGGACTCCTCAGCAGTGCGCGTCCATGATCCCGCCCCTGCGAGATTCGAACACAAGACCTACTGGCTTCGCGCGCGAGCACTTAACCACTAGACCAATGAGCCGGGATCCAACGGTGTTAATGTCTAACTTCAATTAATCCACGAAATTGAGCTACACATCCAACATTGTCTTCAGTGAGTTATTATCTCACAACAGACCTGGTTGAACTCCACTAGTCACTACTCTTCATTAGAAACCTCACTTGAAACCTTAGTCATATGATAAATCAAACCCCCTTTGTGTATTCAAAAAAAGTTTGTTCTCATCTTAAATCTACCCCGGTAATGTTAGCTTATTTTTATTCAGAGTGATGAAGTTTCAGATTGTTTTCATATTATAAGTATGGGGTTGTGAACATTATTAAGTTTTCGATTGAGATCATGAATCGATTAATGTTAGACCATCATTGAAAACTTGAAAGCATTGGACAGCAAACACTTCCTATTGTAGGACTCATCAGAAGTGCGCATCTACGATTCCATTCGCAGAATTCGAACCCAGGGCCTTCATATTGTTTCTTTATTATCCTTGTCTCGTCTTACCCTCCATTTCCAGTCTGGTTAGCCTTTTGTTTTTTATATATAAATGTTCTTAATAAGTATATGTGTACATTACCACCATTGAATTAACTATTCCTATGAATTTGATGTTGGTCTTGTTGTGCTAATGAGGTATGACAACTTGAACCTATGTACATATGTGCCTGGTCCCGACCGAAGCTGCTACCTTGACGCGGTGGTCGGGCTTGTCTATCCTGATGACCCAACCGAGCTATAATGGCTGGAACATATGTTCCTGCAGGTTCTACCATGCCAGGCAGGTCGATTGGAGAACGGTAAGACTGAAAGCAGCAACTCAAGGTCTGAGGGCGAAGTCGTACTGCTGACTGTAGAGAGGTGTGACAGCAGTAAGGTGTTTCCCTCGGACAACCAGCATCTGCAGCGATGCTACCTTCTCACAAGGAGGGGTGGGGTTAGAAAAGGTCGACCCTAAAAATGTCATACCTCACCTTACCTCACAGATTTCCTTCCCCGGTGGTAAGGCCCTTTGAAGAACGGGGCTAACACATTGAAAACCTTCCACGAAAAGGCCGTGCGCGACCGGCCTCAAGCATTTGTCCCTTGGGCTCTGAGGTCACGCTTCCAGGTCTTTAAGACCAACAATAATCCAATTTCCGTTCCAGGTTCCTCAAGAAATACCCTTCCACGGTGTGGGCAGCCGGGAAGTGATATCAGCCTTCATACCCGTAACAGCACACGAGGCCAAGTTGGTCACATTCAAATCCTTCCTACACCTTCTAATACCTCTCTTATCTCCATGACTAACCCTCCTCACGTCTCTTTATCACCACGCATCGCTAGGGCAAATGATTGGAGTACGCGGAACGCTATTCCTGGTCTCCCGGTCTCTTAACTACACGTAGGAGCTTTTGACGTCCGAACACTGTGCCAAATAGGGCAACAAGCTTCCTTTAAATAGGACTTTAGAATCCCGTGCAATCGATGTGTGCTGCGTCTCCGAAACGCGCATACAGGATCCGAGTAGCGTCATTCATTTGACCTCACCATGCCAAAATAAAGAACCAACTCGATTCACACTTCGTGTATCTGGAAGCCCTGATTCTGCTTCCCGTGGCCTCGCCGGCGTAGGTATAGCATTGAGTCCTAGGGCAGAACTAGCTCTCTTAGACTGGATCCCAGTAGACAGTCGTTTGTGCGCTGTCCGACTGAACGGAACAGTAAGAATCCGGAAATATAGGGACACTCGTCGTTGCCTCTTTGTTGTCTCTGCCTATTCTCTCACTGACTGCAGCTCAGATGATGTAAAAGATGAGTTTTACAGAAAGCTCTCCGACCTTCTCCGAAAAGCTAGGCGCTCTGATGTAGTAATAGTGGCTGGTGACTTTAGTGCTCAAGTAGGTAAACTAAGCGA